AAAAAAAAAAAAAAAAAAAAAAGACTTTTGAGTGGGTTTTAGAGGGTTGCAAAAAAGCGGTAGATTTTGCTTCCTGGGATCTGCTGAAACTTGTGCTTCTTTAATTAGAAGTTTTGAGATGGTTGCAGAAAATGGAGGAAATTTTGTTTGAAAATGATGCAATCTGCAGAAAAGAATACAATATTAGTTAATACGTAACATCAAAAATGCTGAAAAATAACGTAAGTGGAGAAGGAAAATGGGGATTGGAATATATAAGTGTAAAGCCGCATAAACAAGAAGCTTATGATCATTTACTTTACCTCAGAAAATATGGATAATGGAGAGAACAATGAAGACAGTGAAAGTAGTGGAAGCTGGAAAAACAGTTGTTTGTGTAGTGGAGGCAGTTGGTTAGCTGAGAAAGGCTATAAATTGTGCTAGACGCCTGCAAGTCTGGCACTGCCTTGAATCTTATATCGCGCGAGAAATTGAGAAATTAGAGAGCCTATCCTTACCGTTGATATTAAGTTTTTAGTACTGGTCTTTAACACGTGGGTCAGTGGGTCTCGGGTTTTAAAAATTTTGTGCTTATTTCTTTATTTAAGACTGGACCATGACAAATTACCTTACAGCAGCGTAATCTTATCGAGCACTTTTTCTCACGTGTCGAATTCATTTCATCGGGGCACTGAAGATATTCGCTGCAGATTTCTTTGTCTTTTTTGCCTCGTTGATTGAGGAACTTTATTTCAATCAACAGTGCGCATGTGCTTCGTCACCCCTAAGACTCAAAATATTGGGAGATGTAAAAGCTGTTTGTCTAGATTTAAAAATTATTTATTTTATTTTATAAAAAAAAATATTTGTTTTAAAGGATAATTCATCTTAAAAATAAAATTTTATTAAAAAATTTTAAAAATTAAGTAAAAATAAAAAGGTGATTACCAATTTATATTAAGAAAAATTAAGTAAAAAATACATTAAAATGACAAAGTCTTAATAAATTATTATTGAAAATAATTAAAATATGTTAATTTTTAACATAAAAATAAAATTATTTTAATTTTTTATAATGCTATATTAAAAATACAATTTTAGTATTTTTTTGTTTAATTTTTTATAATATAAAGTAATACTAATTTCTTTAAAATAAATTTTAAATAAGTTTTAAAAAAATAAAAATATAATCTTTTAAAATTCATTTAAAATCTGTTTAAAAAATTAATATTAAAGATTTTTTCTAATAAAATTTAAATTAATGAAAAAATTACTTTTTAAAACAAATAATTTTTAATTTTAAACTCCAAACACGCAAAAAAGAAACTTTATCTGAGAGGTTGGTTAGATAAGACTAATCCTAAATTGTGTTGAAAACCAAATTAATATGACCATTGAATCGAATCAAATTGATTCAATGTGATTAAAAATTGATCAAACCGCATTTGAATGGATTTCTTTGCATCTAAAAAATGTAAAATAAACATAATTAATTTGGTTAATGAATTCCATATCTAACAAGCTAAATAAAACACACCAGATAATTAGTTAATTAAGAATATAATTTTTCTATTTTTAATTCCTTTGACTCTCTCATTTGGATGGTGATATTATTATTAAATTTTTAATTATTAATATTAT